TCCAGACCAGTAAATGCTTTTAACCACAGAACCATCCTTGTAGCCCCCTCAAAAGGGATTTTAAGAAAATATAGACTTAAGCATAGACGTTAGTAGAAGAGGTGCTCAGGGAAAGATAAGACACATCCAAGTAGCAAGTTCCACATCTTTGCAATAGTCATATATTGGGTTTTGAAATCTTATCTTTCTGTTACTTACTATTTTTATTTTATGCGTATGAGTGTATTGCCTGCATGTGTGTAAGTGCACCCATGCTGTGCAATGCCCGTGGAGGTCAGAAGAGGGAGTCCTGGATTCTCTGGAACTGAAGTTATGGCTGGTTGTTAGCTGCCATGTGGGTGATGGGAATTGAACCCAGGCCCTCTTCAAGAGCAACCAGTGCCTGTAATCACTGAGCCAACTCTCCAGTCCTGAAAGGTTTCAAGGGTCGCTAAGGATTTGAAATGAGATCACAGGGTGGTCCTGCGATGAACCCTACAGGATTTTATCTGAATGGCTTTCAAAGGAACTAAAAATAGCCCAAGGCAATTTGGTTGTGCTCTGTAGTATTTTTAACTCTCCACAATCATGAAGGACAATCATTTGGCTTTGTAGAATCTTTCACATAGGTATGGGTTTTCTCTTTGAGTTGGTTATTGTTAAGGTTCAGCTAGCTCTGCTCCCTCACCAACAGGGCCTCACAAGCCCCTAAGAAAAGGGAACTGAGTTGATAAGCACCCTGGTCTTTGAAGTCAAGAGAAGCAGACTTTTCTCCACTGTTTGGCCAACACAGCAGGCTTCCCCTTTGATCTCTAAAGAGGGCAGGTTTTAACAGTCCTGCTCCCCCCACCCCCGCCCAACTTTAAAAAAAATATATCTTCCCGCCTTCTGCAGGAAGCAGAAGCCTCCCCCTTTAAAAAGACCCTAGCTCACGATCTGGGCAGACATTCTCCCTGCCCAGAAGGGACTCTGTCCCATGTGTTTCTTTGCTAATAAACTCTATTCTGATGGAGTTTTATCTGTGTCCTGGTGCTTTCTCATCCATAGCCTACTTTATCTATCAGTTATTAGAAGCTGCAGACACAAGAGATGCTCTGAATACAAAGTAAACTTCCCTTTTGTAAGGGAGATTTACATCTATAAAGGAAACATCTGCTTACAAGACGCTCCCCCTTACCAGGAGTAGAACAACTCCCAATCTCAACCTCATCAATGGAGGAGGACCTCCTCATTCAAATCTGTGTACAGAACCTTCCCAGATGTTTTCAAGGGGGCCTTCTGAAAACTTCCCTCACCTGCCCAGAAGCCCAAAATGCCCTTTATTTTGTGTCAGCCCAAGTTGGTAAGTTGTAAGGGTAGATTTGGCACAAGGCTGCCTCCATTCCTTGAGTCCTTACGTAATAAACCACAACCTCGTTTACTAGGTAAATGCAAGGAAACCCTCACTTATAAGTATATTTTTGCCTCATCCAAGCACAGTTGTCATGTTCTATTCAACGGGAGTCCACCTGATTTGACCAGGTCCAAATCAGGCAAATGCTATGCTGTAACCAAACAAGTCCATTTTCTGTCTGTAAATTCTGCCTGTCCAACATTACTCTGCCTGAAATTTTCTGAACCGATTCTAGTTCACAGGGATCTCATTCTGTGAGTTGTTCTTTGCACAAGTGAACCATTAAGCTTAATCAAATCTTTGCTCTGAAAAATATAAACTCAAATTCCAAACACTTCTTGGATTTGCTTGTTTTGCGTTTCCCCATGTATATATGAGCTATGCATGTTAACAGCCCTCTTTACATATTCCTTTTGTTACTTCTTTTTTTTAAAATAATATTTTATTATCTGGGTGTGGTGGTGCATGCCTTTAATCCCAGCACTCAGGAGGCAGAGGCAGGCGGATCTCTGTGAGTTCAAGGCCAGCCTGCTCTACATAGTGGATTCCAGGACACCTGGGGCTACAGGGAGCCCCTGCTTCAAAGAGACAAAAAAAATTATATATTATTTTTATTTTATGTGTATGAGTGTATTGCACGTATGTGAGTCGTGTTGTGCAATGCTGCGGAGGTCAGAAGAGGGCTTCAGATTCCCCTGGAACTGGAGTTGATGATGGTTCATAGCAACCATGTAGGTGCTGGGAATCAAACCTGGGTCCTCTGCAAGAGCAGTCAGTGCTCTTAACTGCTGAGCCATCTCTCCAGCCCCCCTTTTGTTAATTCTTATTTCCTCGCAGAATCTCGGCATAGAACCTGCTTAGGTAGAAAGAAAAAAGATTTCTTCCTTTATTGCAGTGAATCTGATATCTTCTTCATAGACTATGACAGGCAACTAAAATTGCCTCTCAAACGTAGAAAGATGTCATCTCATTGGGTCAGATTCAGGAGTGTTCTTCTTCCCTGGCTAAATGTTAACAGATTCCTGTAGTGTTTCACGCACAGTGGACTTCAGTTCCCTAAGAGTAAGGCTGCTAGACTTGTCAAACAGAAATACAGTCATAGTACCTGGGTAAAATATAATTTCAGATAAATGATATAGACAGTCACTGACTTATGACAGTTCAACTGTCAGATGATACCAAAGTGTCAGGCATTTATCAGAAACTGTATCATGCTATTTGGCAGGCTAAGAATATTAACTACATGTCTGACGAGATATTTTCAGTTAATGATGGCTTATTAGGATGTAACTCCATTGTGAGTCAAAGAGCATCTACACATTTTTTTTCCACTACTGGACTACGTAAACTTATTCACTGTTGCCTTGAAATTCAAATTTAACTAGGCCTTCAGGTGTTCTACCCCTCTTAGGAAGATTAGCAGTCCTCTTCCAAAGAGACAGGGTAGGCCAGCTTATATTATTAGGAAGTTATATTCCCATATCCAACCAGTATTCTTATGGAATGTCCTTGTAAGCTGAGGCCATTTGAAGCTGCCTCTTGTTTTACTTACTAGGTGGAAATCTTGAAAATGCAACCCTGTAATTGCTTTACTACTTACTTATGTTTCATTGCTTTGTAACATGTGACACTTGAAGCCCTGTGATGCTTCCCACTCACTGTGTCTAACTACTGAAGAGTGGAAGGCTCACCGGATCGTTTACTGAGGCGTCTGCTCCAAGAGTGTAGATCAAGATGGCAGGTTTCTAAGCTTCTGCCAGTGTTATCTGTTTTTCTAAACTGCAATGACCGTTTGACCAATTCCTAACCCAATTAGCCTGGCCTAGCTGTAGATCAAAAGATGTCTGACCTATGCCTGGGATATCTACAATGACTGGGTGAAACAGGAAGGAATTTTCTTGAGCTAACATGGCACATTACTGTAAAGAGCCATAGGGTGCAGCAGGCATCTATTAAATGATGTAAAAAGTACTATATAACCTGACTTACATGTTTCTGGACCCAGAAAACCTTAAAGCCTGGGTTGCTATTTCTGGGATGACATGCATGTGAAGAGAGAATAAAAATGTTTTCCGATTCTCTCCTGGGTGAATGCTTGATCTCTTAGCTGTTTGAAAATTTTTCCTGTTAACAATATTAAACAACAAAGTTCAAAAATCACCTGCCTTCAGGATGCTCTACAACTCAGCATGTGCTTTGTAAAATAGACCAGAAAGAAGACTTCAGAGAGCCAGGTGTGGTGGCACATGGGCCTAGCACTTGGGAAGCAGAGGCAGGCAGATCTCTGAGTTCAAGGCCAGTCTGATCTACGTAGAGAGTTCCAAGTCAGCCAGGGCTACCTAGTGAGACCCTGTTCACCCCTCAGAAGACATGGAAAAATGCTTACTCCAAAAGTGGACTTTTTATTTAAATATTTTATGCTGATACACATACAAATATAATCTCCCAAGAAACAAATGTAAAAACTAATGTAAATCATCTTTCTAGGAACAAAGACCATTTAGAGCACATGACTACACTTTAAACAAGGGGGTTAGGGAAGGCTGTATGTGCTGGGGAAAGCGAGATGGATGAAAGGGGGAGGTAATTCAAACAAAACAAAACAAAGCAGAGAGACAGGCTGGGCTTTCAAGCCTGCTCAAGGAGAAAGTTAAAGACCCAGTTCGCTTTTCTGAGTACATGTGCCATCTTTACATTTTCACAAAATAGTGTTATTTATCCCTGCTGCACACCTAGCAAAATATAATCGCAATTACAATGAAAAAGAAAAACATTCTGTAAAACTAAGTAGAGAATAAAAATTCTAGATCATAAAAATAGGGTGACCTCTGTCTTAGACACAGCTTACTGTGTGTAAAACGAATTATACACAGTTAGTGGAGCACACTGTATAAATTCTCTCACAACACAATTCATGTAAACAATATTTTAAAAAGTCTACGAAAGTATAATTGTAAAATTTCATTTTTTTAGCAAAATATCTTACAAGTTGAGAAATTAGTGTTTAACAAAATTTTGTTCTGGGAAATATATGCGTTATTACTGATATGCACATAGGTTTTGAAACATTATTGTTTCTAGGAGCAATAAAATACAATCTGCTGAGGAGGCACATGATCCAAATGGCTTTCTTAAAGGTACAAAGCAAGGAGACTGAGCAAAAGTGGGCCAATTAGTCAAGGTTTTCATGAAAAAATATTTACTTCTCATGGACTACATCACAACCAGTCAGCCAATTACTTTCAGACATGAAGGTAAACTCATAACTCAGAATTATTGAAACTCAGGGTCTCTTGACATTTTGGGTAATTTTAATGAAAGAATGGTTTGTAAAACAGCTCAAGTCCACAGAGATTTACTTGGCACCCAGGGAGGCACTGAGGGGTAGGGCAGTGAGCGGCATCCTGTAGGGATATGGCTGTTCACTCTGACCGCACTGAACTGTGTGAGTGCAGGTGTTGGGTAGAGTCCAAAGAGGGTATGGATCCCCTGGAGCTAGAGTTACAGGTGATTATGAGCCAACCTACAGGGTGCTGGGAACTGACTGACCTCTGGGACTCTGTAAGAGCAGTATGTGCTCTTTAACTGCTGAGCCATCTCTCAAGTCCCTAACTGCATTAAACTGTAGCTAAGAAAAAAATACACCCTGAATTTTTCTTCATAAAATATTACCATACTAAGTAAAAATTATTTTATATTTGTGACTTTTATCCTGGATTATTTATTTAGCTGAATTTGAAGCACCCAAATTTTCATGACTGTTGAAAGACAAGGGGAAATACTATGTCATTTCTGAGATCACAGGACATGTTGTACATGTATGTCAAGAGCACAGAAATGCACAGTACATATCTTTATCATGTCAGTGTTCTAAAATTCGATTTTACCCAAATTAAAAGGGTTCCAATGCTTTTGGGTATGGTGGTGCACGCCTTTACTCCCAACACTCAGGAGGCAGAGACAGGTAGATCTCTGTGAGATCGAGGTCAGCCTGGTCTACATAGCTAGTGCCAGGCCAGCTGGGGCTACAGGGAGACCCTGTCTCAAAAAGACAAAAGAAGAAAAGGGGTTCCAATGTTAAGTATCGTAATATACCAGGTATCAAACATCTGTGTTAAATATTAATGTGATATGCAGAGACCCAGTTTCAAACATCTATGTTAAATATTAATCTGATATGCAGAGACTCACTTTCCTGGGTTGCTCTCCTGGACAGCTGATGAACTAGAAACTGAATTAATCTGGTAAATTCTCAGAAGCCAGTTTTACCCTCTGTTTACTTTGTCCTGTGACTGTGGCTTGCGCAGCTCCCTAAAAGGCACTTAGGAGATCAGGAGCCAGCTTCTTCCCTCCTCCCTTGGTCTATCATGGAGCATTTCTGAAATGCAGCCCTGGAATCAGAGAGTGTGGCCTGTGGCATATCAGTGACCTTTCTCAGTGTTCAAGTCTGCATGTGTGGGGCTTATGAAAGGCTAGGCACATGGAAAACCTTATCTGTCCTCGCTAGTTCACCTGGGTTGGAGTGGGGCTGGCTGCTGCTTATGAGTACGAATGCTGCACTGTGCTATGTCTGGTGACCCTGGTGGATGATGTGGTTACGGCAGAATTAGGATGACCAGATTCCTCTGAATCTAAATTTGGCAGAGGGTCTGGGAACCCAGTTCTGGAAACCACTGTCTTCCTAGCCTTCACAGAGGCTTCACTGGGCATCTGGTAACCGGACTGCAGAGTGGAAGCAGGAGCCAGCACTCTCTCTGTGACTGTCACATTCTGTCCTGTTGCCACACTGGACGGAACCAGAGTAGGCTGTACCCCTGAGCTGGGAGCAAGGACACTCTCTCTTTCCCTTACCATCACATATTGTGCATCTTTCAGATGCTGGGTGACCTCGAGGGGGTTAGGGACACCCACGTTAGGCTGGATCACTCTCTCAGTCACCAAGACATTTCCTTCATTGGTATAATGCTGATCCACCAAGGTGGATGCTGGGGCGTATACCCTCTCTGTCACGATAAGGCTCTGCGGCTGTCCTGGATCCAGGATCACCGTGCTGGGTGGCACTGTAGAGCCAGTGGCATAGGAGGTTTCTGTCACTATAATATTACTAGCAGCTACTGGGTCAGGAAGGGGTGGCACTACCTTCTGAGTCTGCCTAGATGACACAGAGCTCTCGGTGAGAATTTCCTGAGTGACTCTGTCTGCATGCGCCTGGCGCCGAGGTTTTGGGACTGGAAAGCTGCCATCAGAGGAGTAGGCCTTCTCTGAATGAACTGTTGTCTGCGTATAGTGTGAGTGTGCCTCGGGGTTCACACCTGCGTCTCGGACAGGCTGTTGCCTCTGCTCCACGTCCATGTCCAGATCGATTTTTTGACCTAAGCAGACTTCAGCTAGTGTCCTGAATTTCAGTCCCAAGTCATCCAGGAAGCGATCGTCAAGCTCTCCTTCAATAAAACTGCAGCAGCCAATGGAGCCCCGCTGAGATTCTGTTTCTTCCTGAGAGTAAACCAGAAGGCAGTCTTTGGCCATGTGGAGGTCATCTTCTTCAGCATAGGAGGCTATTTTCTATGGAGGAACGGAGAAGAGAGGTAAATAATTACTGATAGGAATTCATTTAGGAGCGAGGCTCGATATTCCAGTCTAAAATGCAAAATCTGAGTCTAATTACTTGAAAACACAAGAGAACCCCAATGGCAATATCCTGCGACGCCGCCGGCGGTGGTCTCAGGGAATGTTAACATGAAAAGCGAAGGGAGGGACAGGATACAATGTCAGAACAAAGGAGAATCAAGTGTCAAGAGAATCAAAGCAAGAATGCATTTTGGATTAGATTCTGGATAGGAAAAACAACTGCCATCAGGGACATTGCTGTGATAAGTGACTAAACTGAAATGTAAATTGTGTCTATTTTGTTAGCTATGCTATGGTAATACAGGTGTGTATATTTGTGGGTGTTTGTGTATGTGTGAGACAATAGAAACACAAATAGAAAATACGGCAAATGTTAATACAACGGATAGGAGTTCAAAATTTCTATCTTTTTTTCTTTCTTGACAGTGTTTCATGTATTCCAGGTTGGCCTCCAACTCAGTGTGCAGCTGGGGATGCCTCAAAGTCCTGGGTCCTCCTGTCTCCTCCTCCCGTGTCCTGGGATTATAGGTGTGTACCACCACATTCAGCTCTACTGGCCTGCAGGTTTTCAACGACTTTGAAATTACCTCTAAATCAAATGTTAGTGTGTACACACATGACTGTGAAGAGACTAGAAGAGGCACAGAGTGCAGAGGGAAACCTCAAAATAAAACCCAGGACACGAGACTCACATGAGACAGAAAAGGGGAGGAAGTGGCTTTCCTGACTCTGTATCTGTCAGAATAACTGATGGGCGAGGGATGTCAGAGAGGCTGGAAAGGAGCCAAGCGCCCCGGTAATTTATAAATTTAAGAAAGGGAGACAGAAATAAATGTTTTGACTATGGAAGCCCCTCCCCTCAGTCACTGCAAATGCCTGTAAGATACCTAACACTCTGTCTCTGTCCATCCTGTGGGGGATACATGGGACTTGCTCCAAGTTGCCCAGTCCTGCTTTTTTCCCCACTACTTTACTGTGTCTATAAGCTCACTAGTAATGTCCTTTATCTCATTTCTTTTGAAAGGTTTATTTATTTCATCTGTGTGTTTTTCTGCTTGTACATATGTGCACCATGCACCTGCCTGGTGTCCTGGAAGCCAGAAGAGGGCATCAGATCCCTTGGAACTAGAGGTAGAGAGAACTGTTAGCCACCATGTGGGTGCTGGGAATGGAACCCAGGTCCTCTGTAAAAGCAGCCATGGTCTTAACCCCGGAGCCATCTCTCAGTCCCCTTTATCTCATTCTAGTATCGATAGTTTGTCTCCATCTTTGTGTTAATTTGACTGGCTAAGAGGTTCACAGGTCTTATTAATCTCTTAAAATAGCTTTTGATTGGTTCCCCCTTTTCACTATTTAATTGATTTCTACTTTAAATTCATTATGACCTTATTTTCAAATTGCTTTAGATTTAACTTCTGTTTTTGTGACTCTTTAAGGTGGAAGCTTAGGTCAGTGATTTAAAACTCACCTTTACTTTTATTTTTCTGGTATAAATTTTCCTCAAAGCATCACTTTGGCAATCCTCAACAGATGTTGATAAAACACGGATCAAGTTTTAGTCAATTTAAGCTGCTCACTAACTGCTCCTATTATCAATGGATTATTTAGAAATGTTTAACTTACACATATTTGGGAACACTGGCCTTCAGGACCAGTAATTGTTTCAGGTCTCTGCATGATTGCAACTCTAGCCCCCCCCCGCCTCTTGCGCGC